ATGTAAGCTGGTTATTTAATAAAGAGTGTTGTATCCACATTTGTTTTGCGAATTTACCATTGATTTTAATTAATAGATTTGTAGATAACGTATTTTAAAGAGCACGCTCAGATTCATTTTGATAAAAAATTTGTTTACTATAACTTTATGTATAAAATTGAATGTCAAGGGCGCCATTTTAGATTTTCTATTTCCATAAGTTGCCATTTTTAATAACGGATGAACGTTTAAGTACCAAAAAAACCTTTAAGTATTAATTATCATGAGAAACTTTTGCAATACATCCGATTCATAATATAATAAGTTCCAGTGTGATATACGAAAATTCAGCTTATAAAAGGAAATCTATTTTAACGCTAAGAACAGAATGGGAAGTTTGCAATATCATTAGGGTTAAAATAGGAGCAACTGTATCATTATAATTAAATTTATTTTGATATCTTAGAACTATTATTATATCGTAGAATTAAAAAATTAATTAAGAATCAAAATTTCGACTTGAGAATATTTATTGTGCGAAATTAAAGAAAAAAGATATCAACAATTTTAATTTCTTAATCTAATTCAATTTTTTTTCAATATCCTTGAAATTTCTATATTGTATTTCGAAATTCCTATATCGTATTCCTATATCTAATGAGAAATCCCGAGAATTATATAAGTATCAATATAACGTGATATACATTATTCATAATCTCGTAACTGTAAAATTACAATTATTATCACTATCGCTGAACACAAATTATGGAGATATCATTACGTATTACGTTTATTACTCGCACTGCTAAGCTCATACACGGTTATTCAGAATTGTAGCATACTATTAATGAAAGCGATTTATATTTTTAACGCTCGATATAAATCATCAACTTGTTATCACTAATGTCACAAAATATTATTATTGCATAAGAATTTCCTAATTTCACAAAAATTTCTTAATTTCCTAATTACATTTACATGTTTTGAAAAATATGTAAAATGTATTTATTACATAATATTCTTATACTATCGTAACAAATTTGCGAAAATATATTAAATATGACTTTAATCGAGCACAAACATTTTGGATCGGTCATTTTGAATTTACCATTGATTTTTAATTAATAGATTTGTAGATAATGTGTCTTAAAGAGCACGCTCAGATTCATTTTGATAAAAAATTTGTTTACTACAACTTTATGTATAAAATTGAATGTCAAGGGCGCCATTTTGATTTCCATAAATTGCCATTTTTAATAACGGATGAGCGTTTAAGTACCAAAAAACCTTTAAGTACCAATTATCATGAGAAACTTTTGCAATACATCCGATTCATAATATAATAAATTCCAGTGTGATATACGAAAATTCAGCTTATAAAAGGAAATCTATTTTTCTCATATTTCTGGGATATAAAACTCTTTTGACTATTTCATGTGAATCCCAAACAATTTTTTGTAAATAATTAACTAAGATTTTGCGGGAGAGAGGAGGGAGAGGCAAAAAATCAGACTTTTTTAACATCCTCCTTTGTCAACAATAGTATCTTGCCAAAACAAGGCTGATTCATAATCTAATCATTTCTTATATTTAAGATCTTCCTAAGTATAGTCTTAAGATATCATAAGCCTATCACAAAATCATATTTTAGTATCTTAAGATATTATTAGGTGTACAACTTTGCTTCCGCCGTTTTCCTATAGATGACTTTAGCGGTAAGTGGTGGTCGAAATAAATAGATCATAGACGTCATACAATAACTTGGGCATCTGTCAACATAACTCCATAGAAACATTAGTCGATTTGTGTCTGCATCATAAAGTTATTCTCGATTGAAAATGTCAGTTTACAAGCCAAATTTTCGTCATTTGCGGGAGGTTTTAATTTTTTGCTTCAATATGAAGAAATCTGCGGCTAAGGCTCGAATGCTCTCAAATACTTATAGTGAGGCCGCTATTAGTGAAAGAACGTGTCGTGAGTGGTTTCAACGCTTCAAGAACGATGATTTTGACGTCCAAGGTCATGCTCTGTATTTGGTGGGACCAGCTCGGCGTAGTGTATTATGAACTGTTAAACCATCACAGGCGATCGGTATCGAATGCAATTGATG